ACAATATAAGAAAGAACACAGAAAGAAGAGAAACAGAATAGAGACTTTCCAGCTGAATTGATCAAATTGAAAATTGGTTGTACGACATGGATTTGCTTTCTTCTCCCCGGTACTCCATTACAAAACAAATTCAAGTCAAAAATTGAACTTGCGAAACTGAACGACGACGCTGGTCTGCACTTATCAAATGGAATTGACTTCTACTGCTATCTTCCAGTGACTTCAATTTGTATTACAGCAGACTTCCCTGGGCTAGTCGCATGGCGAAGTTGTAGCTGCCGGAGTGTACGAAGTCTGAACAAAAATTACGAAGACTGACTTTTTCATGACGCTGTGGTGACTCTTTCTGACTGCTGATGGTTATATCCTTTAAACTAGTCCTCTTCGGCATCTACACAAATTTTCCAGAGTTTCTTCAGCCAATAGAAGCCTTGCTGACACGCATCTTTTGGAATCATCAACAAATAAAAAATGACAAAATCCTCTCATAAGAGGATTTTGTCGATCAGTCAGTCAGTCGGAGCACGAAGGCTAACCCTCTGGGACTGACGAAAACTCGCTAGAGAAAAAACCAGCACAGCTGTTAGCAAAAAAAAACTCCGCAGCGAAAGGACTGATGAGAGTTGACGAAAGGCCAGACTCTTGATCCCTCGTTATCGAAGGCAGCCGTTCGGGGAGTTTCAGTACTTGAGTTCCGGCAAAGCACCTTCGTTGAAGTTCCATCCAATTTCATGCAATTTCAATTTCATCCCTCCCACATGTAATACGTAGGGAAAGTTTCCTTTTTTGAGGTTGTGGTATTCGTGTGCCTCGAGATGAGGAGATACTTGAAAATGAAATCATTTACCCCGATCGCTTCCAATGTGGCCGAGAAGCTTTCATCACCGTTCGTTCGCTAGAGATCTCTGGTGAAGTTGTTTCAAAGCTCCCATTTCGTGCCTAATTCCATGCAGTAAAAGGCTGAGAAAGTCCTCCTATTTAGGGGGGAAAGAAATGTATCATGAGGCTCCCATCTTGAAGAGGGAGAGTGAGAGAACTTGACGTGCAGGTCGGGAAGAAATGATTTGATGGAAATGAATTATACTCGGTCCAGTGGGATTAGTGGGGAATTAGTGGGGTTTCATGGGGAATGGCCGATTTCAGACAGGGAATTTCCCGGTATCGATTTCTCCCAGTATAAAATTCATAAGACTGTGCGGACGGAGAAGACCGGAGGATGCTGGCGTGAGTCTATAATCACCATTTTGAGCTTTTTCCATCATGCACTATTCCAACCCAAAGCGATGGGGAACTACTACCTGACCCCAATTTATTCTATGATAATAGGCAATAATTAAATAGGCAATATGAAAAAAGCACCGTATATTTCAGCCTTGTTTCTGCACTCCACGCTGCGTCGTACCTAGCTTTGAAAGGTTCCGATTAAAGGCTACAGAAAAGTCTGCAATTGCCTGAATTATAAGAGGGTTTTGTCGATTAATCTGTCATTGGGAAGAAGAAGGTTAACCCTTTGCCACTGACGAAAACTCCCGAGGAAAAAAACCAGCACAGAGGTGGCGGCCGGTCGCTAAAAACTCCGCAGCGAAAGGGTTAAGAGAGTTGACGGCTGGCCAGACTCTCAATTCCTCGTTATCCTAGGCAGCTCCTACGGGGAGTTTCAGTACTTGGGGTCCGGCCGAGCACCTTCATTGAAATTTCATCCAATTTCATTCAATTTCAATTAAATCCCTCCCACATGTAATACGTAGAGAAAGTTTCCTTTTTTGAGGTTGTGGTATTCAGTGCCTCCAGATGAGGAGATATTTGAAAATGAAATCATCTACCCCGATCGCTTCCAGTGATGCTGGAAAGCTTTCATCGCCGTTCGCTCGCTAGAGACATCTGATTAAGTTCTTTCAAAGCTCCAATTTCGTGCCATTCCATTCCATTCGTGCCATTCCATGCATCAAAAGGCCGAGACGGTCCTCATACTTAGGGAAGAAAGAAATGTATCTTGAGTCTCCCATCTTGAAGAGGGAGAGTGAGAGAACTTGATGTGCAGGTCGGGAAGAAATAATTCGATGGAAATGAATAATACTCGGTCCAGTGGGATTAGTGGGGAATTAGTGGGGTTTTATGGGGAATGGCCGATTTCAGACAGGGAATTTCCCGGTATCGATTTCTCCCCGTATTAAATTCGTAAGACTGTGCGGACGGAGAAGACCGGAGGATGCTGGCGTGAGTCTATAACCACCATTTTGAGCATTTTCCATCATGCACTATTCCAACCCAACACGATGGGGAACCTCCAACCTCTCTGGACTCGCGGAAACAGACAGCATTGAAGAATGTCTGAAAGATGCACTGGATTCAAAATATGGCCGGCAAGATTACTTTCGCAATGAAATGAGCGATTACGGACTCCTTAGGGATCGAAGATATTGGAAGAAGGATCAGATGAAGTTGGAGTATACCGAGGGGGAACTGGATCGCGACTTTCGCCATCTTACTTTGGTAGCCGGACCCGCATTAGTCCGGAGTAACTGTCAGATGGCTGTCCCACTCCCCATCTTCTTTTCCTGCACCAAGAGGAACATGGCCTATCGGGTCGGATATCGGTCTTTCGTCCGGAAAACCTTTCAACACGTCTCCCTGCGCTAAGAGAATCTGCCTTTCCGAAAGCTTGCTTCCGACGGAACAACGAAGGCACCCATGAATAAATTATTTAGACCGATGAATTCCATTCCAATTCTCTCATCAGTGAAATCTGCATTTTTATCCACGAGATCGCTTTCTCAACCTTTTCCCGATCAGGATCGAGGAGAAACGCGGAGCCTCGCTCGAATGCGCTCCACGGAATCAGCTCGCTCGAGCCTCCCTCGGGAACCCCTCCAGACAATTCCTGCATACCCATCTACCCTCCTGTCTCTTCAGGATGGAGAAGCCATGCCCCCCTTAGGGCGGAGAGGGGGGGGGGGGGGGCAACTCACTTCGCCTCCTCTTTGCCGTCGCCACGAATTTGGATATGAAGTCATTGGGAGTAGCAAGATTTGCATACCGCTGTTTGGACTCATGAACTAGCCATAGGAAGTTTCCTGGTGCATCTTAGTAAGAGCGACGAGGACATTACACCCGCTAGAGATCACGTTTCCGAATTGGGAATACGAAGCGCGCATGAACGGGGAGAAAAATAAACATTGTTGGCAAACGAAAGACTGTAGGTCACGGTAGTCCGTCACGAGGCCCCACGTCACGGAGCGAGGCGATGCCCCGCAAGCCACGACAGCCATCAGTCGAACTCGGAGTGCAAGAGTAGATGATGTGAGTTCCGATTTCTAGTCGAACCGAGCGGCTGGGCACATGAATATAGCACCACTAAGGTAACTCATCTCCTTGTAAACGTTCTGAATCTTTTCCGACCTGTGGCACAGGTGCCGTATCACGATCGGACCGATGCAATAGCGATGACTTGAATTCCCCAACCGCGTAAGCAAGCTCTCGGTGCCGTGAGTCCTGGTGGCGGTGGTTCGTATTACTCGCACACCATGTTCTGAAAAAACCCGCCGCGACATCACTTGGGTGACTCATGGAACTACCACCTGACCCAAATTTATTCCATGATAATAGGCAATAATTATTATCCGTTATACTTTCATCATGGCATATAAAGTCGGAACAAAGACGCGAGGTGAGACGCAGAATAGAGCAAAACTCTCCAAGGTTAATTTTCCATGTTTTGACCTGCTTAATGAAGATTTCTTTATAATAGGTTTGAAAAAATATTGCATTTTTTCGTTTGGAGTGGAGTGCATTATCATCATGCTGCCAATGAATATCATGTTATTTTTTTAAATCGGACAGCGAAAGTGTTCAATCGTTTGATGCGAGAATTATAAGAGGATTTTGTCGGTCAGTCGGACCACGAAGGCTAACCCTCTTCGACTGACGAAAACTCGCGAGAGAAAAAAAAAAAACCCAGCACAGATGTGGCAGCTGGTCGCAAAAAAAAAAACTCCACAGGGAAAGGCCTAATAGAGTTGACGCCAGGCCAGACTCTCGATTCCTCGTCATCGCAGGCAGCTGCTACGGGGAGTTGCAGTACTTGAGTTCCGGCAAACTACTACCTTAAACTTTACACCAAAGTTTATTCGATGATAATGGACAACATGAAAAACGCACCAACTATTTCAGCCTTGTTTCTGCACTCCACTCTCCAACTCCACGCTCCAACCCAACACGATGGGGAACCTCCAACCTCTATGGACTCGTTGATGCAGACAGCATTGAAGAATGTCAGAAAGATGCACTGGAGTGAAAATAGTGTCGGGAAGATCACTTTCGCAAGGAAATAAGCGATTACGGACTCCATAGGGATTAAAGATATTGGAAGAAAGATCAGATGAAGTAGGAACATACCGAGGTGGGACTGGATCGCGACTTTCGCCATCTTACTTCGGTTGCCGGACTCGCATCATTCCGGAGTAACTGTCGGATGGCTGTCCCACTCCCCATCTTCTTTTCCTACACCGTCGCAACAATCTGACTGATCGTCACCGAAGAAGTAGCAGACATTTTATGCAGGTGAACAGTCGTGCAGGTTTCTCCGTTGGTCAATATGCAAATCAATCTTCGCGGATCGGTCCGAAAACCAACGAACGGTATGGAAAGGAAAAGTTCCATCACGTTCCAACTCGGAATGTGGTCACTGAATGAAATCGATCAGGTATCGTAGGGAAAATTTAACCGAGAGTGACCCCATTCCTCTTAATAGATAAAAGTTCCCTGATTGCGATTACTTGAAATAAATGTACGGTATCGCAACACCGCTCTGATGACAGTGACGCGTTTCTGCAACGCATTATTTTCCAATACTCACTGCGCCAGAGTACTGTAGACAATGAATAAAGAAATACAAGGTTTCAATTTTGTACCCTGTAGAACAGGCTCGGGAAGATTACTTTCGCAAGGAAATGAGGGATTACGGACTCCTTAGGGATTAAAGATATTGGAAGAAAGATCAGATGAAGTATGAATATACCAAGGAGGAACTGGATCGAGACTTTCGCCATCTTCTTTCTTTTGCGGGAACCGAATTTGCCTGGAGTAGCTGCCAGATGGCTCTCCCACTCCCTATCTTCTTTTCCAACCTGTAATATTTGATTTACTTACCTTACTTTGCTTTGATTTACTTAGTCTGAAATGTAGGATTTCCGGGATTTGGTGGAAGAGAACCCTATCTGAAAAATCTCATTAAAATCGGATAGGGTTAGGTGTTTCCAACTTCTTAGGTCATGGAAAAACTTGCCCAAAAACCTTTAGGAACCCTGAATCCGATATGCATCTGGTGATAGCGCAACTGAAAGTGAAAACAGCGTTCGAAAGTCGCTGGCAAGTTTGAATATTTAGAATTTGAGATTCTATCCATTCGAGATTCCGTCTTTTGACATTCCGTCTTAGAAGATTCCGTCCGCACACCTTCCGCAATGAAGATGTGCGACCCAATCATAACAAACTGGCAGTGAGCCAAGTTCCTAGAAAAAGGGGTCACATTTCCATACACCCTTGGCAGGTCCCAGTCCGGTCTGTCCATCCAGCCTCGACGCATCCAACTGGTCCCAGTCCGGTCCATTCCCCCCTGCGACTCCAGCCAGTGATAATCTCGGAGGAAGCCGTCCGTCGTTCGTCCACGATGAGCCCCGTGTTTGCCTCGCAGCTGCTCGTCTGCTTCGCGTGTTTCGCCGCCGTCTTTGCCGGGATCTCCAGGGAAAGGCTCGTCTTCGATCCCGGTATCGCCTCGTTTCTCGTGTTTTCGCTTGCGTGTGCCCACGAAATATCGCTCAGGACATGTCGTTTCCCTACGAATTCTAAATTCCTTTCGCGCAAGTGCCAATTAAAATGTCTGAGACGATTCAAGTGAATTCTGAACAGGGTGCACCTGAAGTGCACCTGTTCATCTCGCGACATCAGCGGCAAATTCCTTCTTTCAGTTGAATTCTACTCGACCGTTTGCTTGACGGTGTTCAACCTATGCCAAAAAAAAGTATAGCCACTCCACTTAAGAACGACTGGTTACGTTAACACATGTAAATTCCACTTCTCGTTATGAGATGGTAAACTCTAAATGACTTCATGTGGATTCAAAGTATCGTGCTAGTTTATTTGGAAAATTAGATTCTAATGACCATGTTTCTTACTGGCAATATCGCTTAAGGGAAACAAAAATGCGTTTCTGATTGAACAAAAAAAAAAAACGTCTTTGTTATTTAGACGGAGTCCGAAAATCATGTCTGAGGTGAGAGTGTTTAGGATCCTCAACCACTCCAACCCAAAAACCTAAAAAAATTTAAATGAGTAATTCATGCAATAATGGGTTTTAAATGTCCATGAAAACGAAGCCTATATCGCGTAATGGAGAATTTCCGAATGTTTTCTCCTTTCTTCCTGCCCTCGAGCGTAACCATAACCCAATCGCTCCCTCAATTTGTAACATACCACGTATAATACTGTATGGTTAACATATGACTAACATATAAATTGAGGATAATTTGAACTGTTCCTCCTCCAGAACATCCGGACACTTGCTTCTCCGAGGTAATGGGCGAGATGAAGAAGGACGAATTGAAATTCAATAATGCAATCTGCATCCAGGCCGCGTGCAGCATCACCGAGAATGGGAAGGACGTCCCGAGAGTCCAAGTCGTCATCTCCGGGTGATTCCAACAGCTTTCCTTTCCCTCCTGGGGCCTCTTCCAGCTTATTTTATTTAGCGTTATTTCCATATTTTATTGGTATCCTTCGGAAATGGAATTTCTATTCCACAAAGGTCTTGCCACCTGAAAACACGGTGGCAGAGTTATTTGCCTTGGCTGTGATCAATTCATTCATGATCATGGAGATTTTAAGCAACCGATTGATAAAGTGCCGACCATTGATGAGCGAGTTACAAGAGTTCGTAAGCCGCTCGGCAATCCACTAAGAAATTAATCGAAAAAAAAACTGTCAATCGCTAGTTGATCGCCCGTATCAACTTGAGAGTACAGGAATGATAGCTGATCTGCCTTCTGACACTCGAACAGAAAATTAAACACGGCGCTGCAGTCATGTTTTCAGGCGCCAATGCAGAAAATTGAATTACGTGTCGTCTGACTCGCAAACTCAAAGAGTTTCTTCAGCGTTGAAAGACATGCTCGATGTGTTCACCGTTCCTTTGGATAATCTGTCTGCAACGTACAGCAGTGTTTTAAATGGATTTGTTCAGGAATTTCTTGCATTATGCCTCTGAGTGCTGTGACCACAGAAAGTTTCATCAATGATGTGTGGATTTGTGGAGGACACTTTTTCCTAAAGGAACCCCCATTTTAAAGGAAAATGGCGGTCTTAGATCAGATGTTGCTGATCACGAGATGTCCCCTTTCATGCTCAGCACTTCCTCTTCAAACTTATCAACGATATTCTCAATCATTGGAATTGATGGAGGTGCTTCATCAGGAAAAAGAAACAGAGCTAAGGATGTTCTTCGTGCATAAATTACTTGAAACGCCTTCACCTGCTACTGTGAGGAGAGAATGTAAACGACGGCTTTCTGATGAAGCATCAAATCTAACGATTAAGAATATCGTCGACAAGTTAAAGAAAAAGCGTTATCAATACGAGAGGGGGACATCCCGTGGCTAGCATCATCTTCAGAGCGCCAGATATATGCATATTTTTATATTTTTAAATGGGGGTTTTGAAGAAAATATGTTCCTCACAAATGCACAGACCATTAATGAACTCAAACGTTCTTTGGATACAACGTTCGCAGGCATGACACAAAAGACACTCAACAAAGTTATTGAAAACACTGCTGTACGTTACAGAACAATATGGAATATGACAGATTATCCAAAGGAACGATGAACACTTCCAACGACTCTTTCAACAGAAGAGATTGAGATTGTGTATCTGATGACATGTCATTTAATTTTGAAATTAATGAAATGTGAAACATTTTTGTGCGCCACCCTGTACATACAGTAGTTTCCATGGTACAGACTTGTCTTGTCTTTCGAATGGTGAAAACTGCATCTTAATGTGTTCTAGAGTTGAGAGGTGATGAACGTCCACAAGGGGTGCAGGATTTTTCACTCACCCTACATTTTTATACCGTGGTTGCCTTAGAATTTAGCTTCAACGAAAAAGATGATTTGCCATTCTCATATTGTTAATTAGATACATAATAGGTGCACTACAGGCGAGAAACAAAAACTGCAACATCTTATCAACAGAATTTTGGCATCAGACATAATTAATTGTGCGTCTTGTTTATTTAGATGCGGGATAGTGAATGCACCCAAGGAGTGTTCCCTGGTGTCCGACTCCAGCATGAATTACCCTCTTTGCTGCCCACAAATCAAGTGTCCTTGAAAAGAAAAGTTATCTTGATCGATCATGCTTTGCTTCATTAGCGACCTACTAGATATTTATAATAAAAAAAGCAATAAAAGCCTGGATGGAACGATGAGCAGATTTATTTGAGCAACGAATGGGAGAGAACGTGGAATCAAAACGACGAAAGGTGAAGCATGGCAAGAACAGTCTACTCGAAGTTGGCCACAAATAAAGGCAGGAGAAAACTAAGGGAACCATCAACGTAGATATCCCGCCTCGTGTTCCAGGTGAAAGCCGTTGAATGAATATTTGGCACTCGGTCTAAGATGAGAAGAAAGGAGGCGAAAAGGGTTTCAGGTGGTAGATGAGGTGGCAGATGAGGCACAGTTGGGCTTTCGCGAGGATCTGGAGGCGTTGGAGGATCCCGGAGAGTACGTCGTGTTTGGCCAGTGTCTTGCTGAACAGGATGCAATTCACTGAGTCGTGCAAAGTGAAACGCCCTCATCTCCTCTGTACGCCGTGGTGGCAGAAACACCATAGGAACTCGACGAGGAAGCACCAGACGAACACGCGCAGCTGCAGGATTTCTTTGTCCGACCCCAAACTTCCAAAGGGAAATGCGCCCGGAAGACAGTAGTTTCCATGTTTAGTGGAAAATGAAAGGATATGTTCCAGGAGAGAGAAAGACAATATGAGAAAGAACACAGAAAGAAAAAGAGAGACAGAATAGAGACATTCCAGCTGAATTGATCAAATTGGGACGTTGGTATGAATAATAATATAAAATTGATATATTTTAATGGAAATTTTAGAATTCATTGTCAATTTGAAACATCCAAAGGTTCTATATTATAAAACTACCGAAGAGTGCAACAGTGAAAACTGATTCAGCGTTGTCTTAGCTTTCATTTAAGCACAAGAACCATTTTTCCTTAAGCTCAATAGACATTAGACCAGTGGGGTTACTTTTCCCAGGAAAGTCCAATTTGGAGTTGAATATCTCAGGAACCTTTTGCGGCAGAGCAAATCGGGGATTTTTTAGTGACTCAGAGAGGAAATCGTGCATGAATTGCCTCGAGCCTATCCCTGTCGGACGCGCAACCCTAGAACCCGAAAATTGACAAATGAGCTGGAACGCCTCAGAATACGATAGGAAAGGAAAAGAGGCGAAAACCTTAGAGGAAACAAGAAAAGTATGAACGCGGGTATCTAGGTTAAAGCTTTCTTCGCACAAGGTGGAAGACCGGAGGAAGAGGACTTCCAGCCATTACAGATCTCGCTGCCGCCAAAGACGCCGGAGACGACCGAAGAACCGGACTTTCACCTTCAAGAATCAGTACAATAGATAACGATGCCTGGAGGGAAGCGGTTCCGGGGATTTGGGACGATCCAAAAAAACCACCTCGCAAGCATGTCAGGGCTATCTCCTGGACTAGGAGATAGCCCTGACATGCTTGCAAGAAGGTACTGCGCAACGGCTGGAATTACGACGAGAATGGCATGGGCCAACCCTCCGAGGAACGCATGAAGGAGGACTGGATTTCCTCGATTGCGCCTCGTTTTCCTTTCTTTTTCTTGAGGAGAGTGATGTTTCATTTTTAAAATACTTGTGGTCGATAACTAGATCCGAATGGGCCGAACACTGTTATAAAGTGGCCAAAAAATTGAGTTTTTCGTCGCATCATTGCAATCTCGTTAATTTTCTACGATACATCAGGAAAGAAGGGAAAGGAATTTCATCGGTGTATTTGCATCTCATTCACCGAGAAACTGAAAGAATCGTCGCCCCGGCTTGCCTCAAATCCAAGCAAACATGGGCGATGAGCATCAAGCGGGCGAAAACAGGGGTGTTTCCCCTACTTGCACGTTCACTCGAGAGCACTTCTAAAAGAGAGTAGTGACCCCATTCACGTAATGCTAATTAGCATCTCCCGGAGTCTTCTGTTCCGTGCCAGGTCCCACGGCGTCTGGATCTGAAATGTCATCGGCGCAGGAAAATTTACCGGACACATACATCACGGATTGGGAAGCTGTAAATTCTAGTACTAGTTCACACCTAAAGTCTTGCTCTATTGGTCAGAACAAGAACTCAACATTCCAGATATCTTCATGGATGAGAGAGACACGATGACAGGGCTCGGCATGGAAACCGTGCATTCTTTTCTCCGTTGTCTAATCCTGCACAGTGAGTGATGGGTATGATGCGTTAAAGTGATGAGTTACTATAGTCGGATCAGCGTTGCGATTAAGTGCACGATGTCTTTTGTTTGAAGCAATCGTAATCCTGGGAGCATTTATCCACTAAGAATAACGAGCTTCCTGTGATTTTTCTTAGCGTTAACGCGAAGAAAAAGCACTGCAAGTAAAGATATGGAGTGGATGATCGTCCCTCCTTCGGGGATAATCTCAACGATTCCCGTCTGCAGACTTGCTCTTCTATTCCTTTCCTCCTCCCACCCATTTTACTCCTCATACAGGGTGTCCATAAAAGAATGCAACAGTTTAAAAAATTAATAACTCGATAAGTAATGGATGAAACGCAGTGATCTTTGCGTCGAAATGAAGGGGAAGACTAGGAGTTCATTTATATCCCTTTATAGATGTCGCTGGCAGCTGGAAATGCGCGCGCAAAGAAATTTCCTAATTGGTGCCTATTTTGGCGCGCACCTCACCCATATCAATACAATGGCCACCGTTCAGCAGAAGGCTCAATGCGTGCTTTGGTATGCGGTGACTAAGTCATTCGTTCAGCATAATTTTCAGCGTAAAACACGATCGCCGGGGGATAATTACCTCGATTTGCTAGAACAATTTGTCTTCCCCCAAGTCGATGACATCGAATAAGAAACTCGAAGTGCCATCGTTTTCCAACAAGATGGTGCCTCGACCCACTTCTCCAGATGTGCAGAGTACTCCCTGAATGAGAGATTTTCAAATCTGTGGATTGCACGAGGTGGACCAATTGCTTTGCGTTTGTTTTCTCGACCACATAGCTATGGAACGAGTGCTTTTCAGTCGCAGACGGAACTCGTTCCACGGCTCTCTTACAGTTCCTTGTTCCTTTTTGTTTAACACGCAAAACTTAACCTTTTTTTTGCTGCTCTCCTTTCAAATAAATCTATCGATGTGGCATCAGATATTGGAAGAAAGATCAGATGAAGCAGGAATATACCGTACCGAGGAGGGAATGGATCGCGACTTTCGCCATATTGCTTCGGTTTGCTGGAACCGAATTTCTCCAGAGGAACTGCCAGATGGCTCTCCTGCTCGGTCTTTTGCTTTTCTACACCGTCACAACAATCTGTGTGCCCCAGTACCGGTGATTCGATTGCGTTCAGTTTCCT